AAAAAGTACAACTCGACACTAGGATAGGAATTGGCAAAGTTTTGTAATCGCCGCCAAGATGACTGGAATGTCTTACTCTCTCCACTATTGATGACCTATAGGACAGCAGAGCATGAAACCACTGCATACACTCCAGCAAAGTTGATGTTTGGTCGGGAACTTCGGTTGCCAATGGATCTGTTAACAGGACGCCCACCTTATGAAGAGTTGCCTGAAAATGTGTCAGAGTTCGTGAAAGTGTTATCGGAAAGGATGGATAATATTCACCATCAAGAGCCCTTTATGTAGTTTGCACTAAGAAAAGAACAAACTACAAGTAACTTTATTGGACAAAGGATTAATACTATTAACACGAACAACGATATTGACTCTTAATAGGGTCGCCCAGTATAGCGCGAGTATTGTAATCAAACCTGGACAATATTACTAAACAGGTTACTGCGCATTGCTTAGGACATTTCTTAAGTTATTTCTATATTTTTTATAAGCTACAAAAAATCACAATTCTAGCGTAAACGATGCTATCATTACACCTTGAAGTTAGTTTCTAAAAAATAGCTAGTGTTCCTTTAAGTACAGGGCGAATTAGGGATTATCAGCCAATAATAGATTAACATTAGACAAGAGTAACATGTAAAATACTCAATGCTTTGTACACTATACAATCGGTGTCTTTAAGGATCCAGCTCCTATATTATGTATATTAAGCTAAACATGCATCATAGTGATCATACATGCAGTACCACTATCAATGATAACATTGTGGCAATGATATCAAGAGCAATAACCATTCAATCTGCATGAAACAAATCTAAAGGTTGTTAATATTTCCCGAGAGAACATCGTACACCAACTATCTGTTTCATTAAACTAAACTCTTCCAAACAGAACAGTATTGATATTATACAGATTTGTGTCCACGATGGACATAAAAAAATCAAGGAAACAAGATTATTAACAATTGTTAATTTAAAAAAAGGGGGAATAGAGATAAAAAAATTACAGAAACAAGATAGTGAAAATACAGTCGCAAAAAAGTAGACATTATTTACTCAAGTTACAAATCCCTATGTTGACTCCATGCTGTTAGCGGTATCTCCAGCCTTGTATGTTTACCTTGTTTTTTGCTGTATTTGCAGGTTTTTGAATTCCCAATTTTATATTTATCTTGTATCTCAAACCTTAAGCCGTTTTGTTTACTTTTTTCTGCGACTGCCAGCTATCTTGTTTCTGATTTTATTTTTACGATCCCTATTCCCCTTTTTAAACTAAAACATTTTAATAATTTTGTACTGATATACTGTCTGTGTTCCAAATACAAACTTTACAGTTTTATGGTCAGTATCACCACAAAACTAAGACATATAAATGTTTAAATGTGTGTTATTAGTGATGATGATAGTTTGAATTCAAATATATGGTGCTCGGCGTTACAAAAATATATATGGTGTTCGGTGTTACAAAAATATATAGTGTTCGGTGTTACAAGCAAATATGTGGTGTTCAGTGTTACAAGCAAATATGTGATGTTCGGTGTTACAAATAAATATGTGGTGTTCGGTGTTACAAGCAAATATGTGATGTTCGGTGTTACAAACAAATATGTGGTGTTCGGTGTTACAAGCAAATATGTGGTGTTCGGTGTTACAAACAAATATGTGGTGTTTGGTGTCACAAACAAATATGTGGTGTACGGTGTTACAAATTTTTAGAGTCAATCGTTTTAGTTTGACATAAAAAGAAATATTACTATTATAGCTGGTTTTAACATTTTCCAACCATCGTAAAAGTTTCTACATTCCACTTTTCTCTCAGGCAACAAGTAAATCTTATTCATCAAGTTCTTAAGTCGTAACGAAACTATTAAGTACCTGTTAAAGATATAACTAGGATATCAGGCCAAACTTTAGCGAGAAAAGCTTACAATCTATTCGGACGTGTTGAAGATATAAGTAGGATATCAGGCCAAATCCTCAGAGAATAAAAGTCAACAATCGATAGTTACGTGTTGAAGATGGACCACTATGTCGAGCGATCTGTAACTAAAGGCTTAAAAGTAATATATCAAATTGGCATGAGACTTAACTTATTATGTCTGTTTAAAGTTTGGTGTTTTTGGTAGGACTTAGTTTTATGATAGAGATTGTAAGCTTTTCTCGCTGAAGTTTGGCCTGATATCCTAGTTATATGTTCAACGCGTCCTTAAAGATTGTAAGCTTTTCTCGCTAAAGTTCGGCTTGATATCCTAGTTATATCTTTAACAGGTCCATATAGATTGTAAGCATTTCTAGTTAAAGTTTGGCCTGATATCCTAGTTATATCTTCAACACATCCTTATAGATTGCTAACTCGCTAAAGTTTGGCCTGATATCCTAGTTATATCTTCAACACATCCTTATAGATTGCTAACTCGCTAAAGTTTGGCCTGATATACGAAAGCGATTCTTGCAACATGAAGTGACAAATAAAAACGGTTAAACCATTACATTACACAATTATTAGATTGTTCTTACTTTTCTATCAAAACGCACTACAGCCAATAAAAATGCGATACCCCCAAAGTGTTGACAGTGTTCATTTCACCAGATCAGCCGGCATGGGTGCCCATAGAAATATTTTCGGGGGGGGGGAGGTAAAACATGTATGTAGGGGACCAGCTTTTACAGTGTAAGTCAACAGACTAAAAGAATGTGCTATTTGTGCTTAAACGTAAACACAAATTTACAGTTTTATAAAAATTACAAAACAATATTTAGTTTAAGTACGATGTTAAGTTTATATCATAATACGTGCAATCTTTTGTGAAATATAATGCCTTCTCTTACCCCTTCTTGCGGGCGTCCATATCAGCTGGTGGAACAACAGTAAGTTTACGGACTTACAACACTAAAATTCAGGGTTCGATTCCCTACGATGGACACCGCAGTTAGCCCAATGTGATTTTGCTCTAAAATAAACAAACCTTTTACCAGTAATAATACAGCAATAGTCTTGCTCTGACAATATTGCATAATTAAACGCTAAACCAAATTTACATGAAAATATATAAATATTCTTATCGAATTAATTAATTGTATTACACAACTGAAGTAGCCTTAAGTAAACATCAGTTCTTACAATATTACATAATTAAACCTCAAGTCTAATTTACATAAAATCGTGTAATACTTGTAAACCAGACATATTTATCCGGGCGCTCGACTCGCAATCTGAGGGTCGCGGGTTCTAATCCCCGTCCCACCAAACATGCTCGCCCTTTCAGCCGT